GCTGGTGAAGTACTCCGCGAAGGCGACGTACTTCCGAGTGTCGCCATCCAGAAACGTGCCGTACAGAACATACGGCTCATCGAGGAATTGGTCGCCGGTGTCTGTGCGGTTCCTCCTGCCGCAGACCTGCACACACAGACACAGAAGCAGCCTATAAATATAAAAGCGACTGGCATGAACGGATGAAAAACTCTACCGATGCCCTGAAAAGATTTATTTCTTGTTCTATGTGAGGAGGATCGCATGACTGCTACTACGTATAGACGAGGAGGCCTATAGCATCACCGCCGCGTCATGGGCCTTTTGGATAGCTTCATTTGTTGTAAGAAGACTGAACTCCTGAACATGAAATGAAAGTCATACATGGCCTCCGGGGCGCATAAGCGTTCTTGTCCCTTTCACCACCTCCTTTGTTGCCCCCCTCAACCTCACGTCCTTTTCCACTCCCATACTACATGACCCATGCATATCGTTTTTTTTCCGAAGCAGTGTCAAATACTGACCTAATTCTGTCATAGAATACTTGCGTTTCACACAGGTGAGCAGTGTTTTATTGCCGAACCAAACCAAGAATCTTTTATGCTGCCCTATGAGATGCTCAACGTTTCCCGGTGATGGCAACCGGCATAACGAGTGACTTGACAGTTCCGCCGCAAAGGAAGATACCTTTCAACGTGGAGTCGTCTCGAGCGAATGCATAAGCGACCCCTGCGAGTGTTGTAACATCGAACGTCACGTACGATTTCGACTCACCGCATCGCGACTCGTGATGCCGAAGTCTTTGCATTTTGCGTAGGCGGCGTCGCGTGGGCTGACGGCTTCGCTCTCGAGGACGTAGAGCAAGGTCCCCATCTCGAACGAGAGCCCCACCAACGTCTTGCCGCTGGCGTACTTGGCGTTGGAGCGCACTAACGGCCAGTGGGTCTCCTGCAAGAGGCGTTGCGCGTGCGCAACGAACCACTTATTCAACCGTTCTCCTGATGACTTTCAGTACGGGACTTTACTGCACCAAGAATACACTACCGCAAACCTTTTCTCGAATGTGCCAGCATCGTGATCATTATCAGCCTGACTACGCCCACTACAGGGCAAAGGCCTCTTCCGTGTTCCCCTAGTCATCCCGGTCGTGTGCTTGGTGTTGCCACGTTATATTATAGCAATCTCAAGTGCCCACTTAATTTCTCTTCTGGCCCTCACACCTTCTCTTGCAAACCAAACGGGTGAGTGGAGGACATAAAGGCAGATGGCCAGATGAGATTAGACGAGTTTGTCAAGGACAAGCGAAATCAGTGATTTGGCAACCCTCATATAGCACTGCGCAACGGTTTTACAAGCAGCCATCGAATGTCTTCTTTAGAGGTGTTGATTGCCTCGATAAACGACCGCCGCAAAAGATTTTTAGAATCCGTCTCTATCTCTTCTCGCGTACGGACGAGTGCGCTGGAAGCATATGCGTATCAGCTATAGGGGCAAAAGGGTGCGGGCGTGAACCTCCCTTGCCCTTAGTAAGATTAAAAGGGCTGCGCCCCCCTCCCTTTCGACAGTGGTTAATGTTGGCCGCACGCTGTGGAAACCAATACAATAACTAAAGGGAAGTTTTCCTTCACCACATTATTCACCCAGTTTCAAGGTGAATAAAATGTTATGAGGGAAGTTGAATATCATGAAACTTTTCCAGCAGTTCCCTTGGGAGGATTTTTCCTCGTGGTTTTTTTTTTGTGTGGTGTGGACCACCTTTTTGACGGCCTTGCGTTGTAGCAGTGCAGAGCAGGCTAGCGCTGAGCAGGGGCCCTATACCAATTGATCACTTGAAGCACGCTCTTATTCCATGTCTGGCTGATGCAGTTACTGATGAAAACGAGCAAGTTTTTTAATGGACCTGTCAAAGCACTTGCTGCTTCTGGAAAATCATTTCGTTTCACCGAAAAGGCATATCATCGCCGCTGCTCTGTCGAAGCTGTTGTGATCCGATGAGTGTAACGAATCTTTCTTTATGTTGGAAGCCCGCCCGGCCAACAATATTTCCATTTTAGTAGATTTACACTAGCGAGAAAGACTGGGACAGTAGTTGAGAACGAAGGTACGTCACAGAGACCTTATTACATTGAGTATTTTTTTTTCTTCGAATGCAGGGCCTACTCTCAGTTTGATAGCGACCGTGTCCATAGGTATGTGGCGGTCTCTTGCGGTTGTTATGGTGACTATGCAGCTCACGATGCTCAAATCAGGCAATGTCAGTGAACCTGGGTATAAGACGCGTGCATGGCATCATTTTCAGGAAGAGGGGACGATTTCTAGCCGACTATCAATATTGTAACGGATGTACGCGGGTCCCTGGAACGGAGAAGAGGAAGAGTCGAGGACCCGGCGCTTCGACCATGTGGTTGGAAGAGCCGGACTGGTCTCCGCCTGCTTCTATGTATCGTTTCATTTCATCTGAAAATAATACCATTCCTTCTTAACAATAATAATTGAACCAGGCAACGTGCTGCGCTATATTTTGGGCTCGACAACCTCAAATACGTGGATCGGCAGCGTTTTGTGACCAAGCTTGGAGGGATAGCTCGGGGAAAAAAGTTCCCGTTGCGGTTGTTGTGCCCGATTGTGGCTCGCTGCGTAGTATGAGCGTACTATGGAGCGCATACGCCGCCGCAAGGTGTCGCCATGCGGCTAGAGAGGCATTTATACAAAAGGCGCTCTAGATTTATGCGGCCCATAAAGTTTCATACATTGTATGAAACGCTGTGATGTGGGCCATTGGTCAATACCAGGCTATCTGCTCTTCAACGTTGAACTGCAGATAGCCTGCTTTTAACCAATGACTCACATCAATAGCCCTCATCTGCTGCTCAACGTTGAACAGCAGATGACGGCAGCTCCAAAGAAAGGGGACACAGGCCTTTGTACGAAAAGAGAGCACCTGATAAAATTTCAATTTCACGCTGTGCTTCTAAGTTCTCTTTGTCGTGCACAACTGCAAAAATTTGGTCTAGATGTACGGAGCAGTGTCTGCTATCCGCAGGACGCGTTTTTTCACCAATGCATGGCCCATCTAAGAGACATTGTATCGTATAGTCTTGGAGGCGTAGGCTGAAGAGCCGAAGCTAATGAAATCTGCAGGCCAGTCCACGGATCAGTTTCAGGTTACGCGACTTCCGTGTTCCTACTGCAGAGTGAAGTCATGCGCGATGCATGACACACGAGAAGTGGACACTTACGAGACTAGGGAAATCGGGTGACTGGGAGCTGAGCACGTTCGGCGGCACGGCGGAGCAGTTGTCGGTGCTTTCCATCGTGCTAACCGAGGATATGGCGATCACCGCATCGGCGTTGAAGGTGCTGCAACGAGAGAAGGTCCGGGGACGGCCGTGATATAACGCCGAGTGTTTGACGCGTCCGCTTTGTAGCTACGATACATCCCGCCACCTGCCAAATCTAATCATCCTATATAGCTGACGCTTGGGCGCAATCACTCCAGCAATCACTTCAGAGTAGCATTGAAGCAAGCAACACTGCTATTATTATATGAGTTGTACTTGGACCAAACGCAGATATACACTGATGGGTCGGTCTTGTCCAGCAGCTCATCAGGTGCCGCTGTAATTCCGGCTGCAGCAATGACAATCAAATTTAAGTTGTCGCATACGACAATCTAAATGTATAGTAACTGTGTAGGATGGCCACTACGGACCATCCTACACATTCACTGTACGCAAGGGAGTCCGTAGTAGCCATCCCTAGTACTAGGAGTGCTCACTAGATGGCGCTGCGGCGTTTGGGCAGACTATTACGGCTAGGTGGCGTGAGCCGCCGCCCGATCTAAAGGGTACAGCCACATCAATCCATCCATCCATCCATCTATCCATCCATCCATACGGACGAACGGACAGATAGACGGACGATTTGTGGTTTGCCGATAGCTTAAGAAATTCACGGCCGTGGTTCGAAGCCGTTATTACGACCTCCGATATGGCGCAACTCTACGAAACGCTGGGAATACGGCAGCGCCGGGGATCGAAGCAGTAGTCGTGCTGTTTGGCAATGCAACGCGACGTAGGTGATGAGAGCACGATACGTATACGAGGCTCTACTAGTATCCGCAGAGACAGCACTCGCGAGACAGCACCCTTGTGATGCATCGTTGGGTAGCGCACAACGCAAGAAAACACGAAGTAGTTCTACCGGGGTGGTATGTAGAACACCTCTCGCATGCGGCGGTGTCTCCATCGGACCGGCGCGTTAATATCGGGCTACGCGATCTCGATAATGCCTCGAAGGGTGTCATCTCATCTCGCCAGCCATTGTCCTGGGTGAACGACTTCATTTAGCACTAACCTCGATTACGCACCGTTAATTATCAACGCACACGTGAGATTGCAGACGCGTGCGACGCGGTGAAGTGTGATAGCAATCGCGTAAGTATACGCCGTTGGTTGCCCCATCGAAACGGGAGGTATTTGCGCTGATCAATCGTAAGCTCGTGTTTTGTTTACGCTTTCTGTACGTCTGCGAATTTTTCAAACAAAACCTTTCAGTGAGACCAGCGCTTGCCCCGTCTTTTTTTCTTTGTGTTTTCTCCCTTTGTGTGCTACCCAACGATGGACAGGTTCCAACTCGGCCACCTTGCAGTACAACTACAAGCTTCCGATCAGAGTGGGCAGTTTTTATCCAAGCGACGTAGCCCATCCCCGTCCAGGCGCCCCTTCATGTTCATTCACCCGACGAAGAGCAGCCAGTGCGTTTCATCCCTGCTTGAAACGGGCCCGTATAAGCAGCCTTCGCAGACCCTTGCGAGCACAACATATGACGAGCGGGCAGTGCATTCTATTTGGATTTTATGAGGTACTACTTGACAGCGACGGCAGAAATATGCCTCGGGCGTACACAGAAATGCTGTCGAAGCGAAGTTTCCGGCTGATCAGGACTGCGTCAACGCGCCAACTCGACTATATCGCTGTGTTCATGCACGAAGGCGTATTTCGTTCAGTACTTCGTCGTGTCGGGCTTACTTGACGACATTCTTTATTATCTGCTTGTAGTCGCGGTCAAAACCACCCGACTTGTAGTTGAGCGAACCAATCGCGATCACGGTCTTCCTATTGGGGTCATTGCTTTGTATTTCCTTGAGTGCCTGTAATGAAAAAAGAAATACGTGTTGATTTCTTGACGTTCATTGTGCAGTTGTCTGCAAGTATAATACTTTTTTATTATCATTACGTATTATATTCGCTACTTCATGCGTTTATTTCACTGTGAATCAGGTTTTTCAAAAAATAAAATTTCATAGGTTTTTAAGTTAAATTGTCCATTGTATATAATGTGCGCGTGGCAGACCCAGTGCATTCTGGGGAACACACATCATGGGAAAGGAGTCAACGAGTATCGGCTTATGTCGTATTTTTTTCATCGATGCAAGCGTTATCAAATCGTCTGACGTCATCGTGTAAACTGGGTAGTGCGCATATGGTGCGCTTACCAGGCGTGCCAAGCACATAAGTGATCAAAGGCTAGCCCGTGATCTGACGTGACGTCGGCGCTCATATTAAAGCAAAGACGTTAGGTTTTAACGCAACGAACTTGCTTATATTGCAGGCATTTTTTATGCGCTTCATCCTCATCTAGACAACAGTCAATCATCATCACCTGTTCTGGGTGACAGTCATCATCGTCTTTGAACGTGCGCTTCAACTTCGGGTCTGTTGCGCTTGTTCGTTCTCAAGTTCACAGCCAATAAACCTCGTTACAACTGAGTCATCATACGCATAATAGATGCGTACAATATTTACCCATGATAAATCAGTCCTTCAGGTAATAAAGTCACGTGACTCGGTTTCGCAATGATTGAGAACGGTAAACCGCTCACTGGGTGTAAGAAATGGGCCCGCCGCGTTGGTCTCGTGACTAAGGTACTCGGCTGCTGACCCGCAGGTCACGGGTTCGAATCCCTGCTGCGGCGGCTGCATTTCCGATGGAGGCGGAAATGCTGTAGGCCCCTGTTCTCAGATTTGGGTGCGCGTTAAAGAACACCAGGTGGTCGAAATCTACGAAGATCTCCACTACGGCGTCTCTCATAATCATATGGTTGTTTTGGGACGTTAAACCCCACATATCAATCAATCAATCAATCAATCAATCAATCAATCAATCAATCAATCAATGGTTGTAATAAGTGTTGCTTGGTCCAGTGCTGCGCAGGAGCACTACTTATCGAGCTTCATCATTTCGTATAGTTGTGACAGCAATAGGTTATAATGCATAGTTCCGGTGCTTGGCTACTCACGCTGAAGGACCCGGGTTCGATCCTCACCATGGTGGCCGCATTTCTAAGAAGACGAAATTACACTCTAAAGTAAAGATCAAGTAAAAAGGGCGCCTTTTTGTCCCACAATAATAATCGGCATCAGGCTTGCGTACGCTTTCCTTTCTTGAAAACTCGGCGCTGTCCACTTTCCTATCGAGCCTGCTATTTGACGCTGATAACGAGCGTGTCGTTGGCGACATGGAAGTGCCGGGAGCGCGGTGCGAGGAAAAGAACGCAAGATGGATGAAGATCATTGTTGTGGGGCAAAAATATGCCCTTTTTCTTAATCGGTCTTTTCTTAGAGTGTACAAATGCCCGTGTTCTGTGCAAGGTCAGCGCGCAAGAAGACACCTGATGGTCGTAATTTCCGGAGCCGTCCACTAAAAGCGTTCATGGTGATCAAACCGTCGTGTTGGTACGTGTAATAATAATATTAATAATAATAATAATAATAATAATAATAATAATAATAATAATAATAATAATAATAATAATAATAATAATAATAATAATAATAATAATAATAATAATGATAATGATAATGATGATAATGATAATGATAATGATAATGATAATAATAATAATAATAATAATAATTACTATTATTAACGTACAGTGGTAATTCATAGGAATTTTTTCTAAATGATAAGTAAAGAAAAAAGCTATCACTGGCATTGGGCATCCCCTGCCCAAATTTTCAATTTTCGCGTGCATATGTACACAAACACCTACAAAAACGCACGCATCAGCATATATAAAATGTGGTTTACCCAACCTCTTCCCCGTGGAAACATTCTGGCTAGGCACGTGGAAGTTGTATTTTAGACATCTGGTATCTATAGTTATAGCACATGATATATTTGACAGAAATTAGTCGAGGCATTCACTCTATCACAGTGTCATCGTATTGTGGAGCGAGGCGTATACCAACCAGCCGGCTTCACTCACTTTTAAAACTGGCCTCATGGCTTCCACAGTGGCGTTCAGTTCATCGGGCTCCGTGATTACGTTGAGCAAGCCGTAGTGCTCCATTCTTTGCCGGGCCAATCGTTGGAGTTCCGGCAGGGCGGAGTATATCCTCACTCGGGAAATGTACCTGCAACCGAACGAGGACTGTATGTGTAAAAAAAGGAAAAAAATAAAAGTGTGGCGTTGCCTTATCTTGGATATGTCAGGCTATACTTAGCGCGAACTAAGGAAGCGTCACCAAACTCAATGTTTTTTACCGGAGCAAACTATTCCATGTGTCACAGTCTCACACACACGCCGCACACATATCCAAACTGATGGCTTACGAAGTCCGTCTCGAGAGGGAGAGAGAGAAATAGACTTTATTGAACAATCCTGCGTGGGAAAGTGCTAGTCGCACTGAGGCTTTCGCCGAGTTCCAACGCACGATCAGTCAATTGACCGATGCCGCTTTGCTAGACGTTGCTCCCTTTGCTCCGGCGCCTCCGGTCCCCATTTGTTCTGTTCGTTCTTCCAACGCGCAACCGCTAATTGCCAGGCCACTACTTTGGAATCCAATGAGTTAAGGTTGTCCGCTTTTCTGCGCCGCTGAGCAGTGATGTCTCCTGTATGGGCACGCGAAACCGCTTAGGCCCGGGCGGCCTAGCTAACGCTACAAAAGCCCGGCACCATCGTCTATTTCAGGTAACAAAACAGCGTAGTTGGTCAGGTTAGGGAAAGAAAAAAAATGTCGCAGTTTCGCCACAAGGGCAAAACCTTCGACTCACCTTTGACTAATTTAGTACGCAAAAAGATTGGAGCAACAAATTTTAATGTGATGCGAAAGAAAACAAGCAACCCGACTCTTTTGGCATCTGACCTATAGTCGTAATTCAACAAAACGGGAATGTAGGAAACGCGTTCACTGCAGCTGGCAAAGCGAAACGCGCACTATCGCTTCGACGCAAACGGAGCGATGGGTACACAACACGCACAAAGGTATCAACCACTGCTGATCTCTATCAAGATAAATGGAACACGTGACCATGGTAGGCTGAACGAAATACGTAGTTTGCGCTGAAGCTGTGATGTTTTTTTTTTTTTTTTGAAACCCTGCCCCACCTTTCGCGCGACGGATGACGGTGGGCGCGTTTCATCTATACGCTTGAGTCGTGGTAGTCGGCGACATAAGCGACGCAGGAGTGAATGATATCGATTTGGACTGTATGTTGATGCTCGCCCCGCCGCGGTGGTCTAGTGGCTAAGGTACTCGGCTGCTGACCCGCAGGTCGCGGGTTCGATTCCCGGCTGCGGCGGCTGCATTTCCGATGGAGGCGGAAATGTTGTAGGCCCGTGTGCTCAGATTTGGGCGCACGTTAAAGAACCCCAGGTGTCCGAAATCTCCGGAGCCCTCCACTACGGCGTCTCTCATATGGTGGTTTTGGGATGTTAAACCCCACAAATCAATCAATGTGTGTTGATGCTGGCAGAAATGGCGACGGGGAAGAGCCGGAAGTATCCGCGTGATTGCTATCGTAAGAATAATGGGTACTAACGAGCAACCTCCGGATGGTTCGGCAAATCAGGTATTCGATAACCAATAATTCATGCCTGGGCGTGGAACACTTAGCGCTGATGCTACGTTTCAAGCACGCGTAATTTAGAGACGCTGCTGGCTTGCGAATGACAAGCTAAAATTGTCGGTTATTAAGGTGATAGCCTTGAATGCCGCATCGAGCACGAAGAGCCTGAGCCGGTGACAACACGACTTATGCGGAAATCATCGTGTGAGTATGCAACCCTGCACGTCATCACGTATCTTCAAAACTTGTGATTCGTCACAGCGTCACCTTACTTAACGTACATGATGACGCCATCCCTCGGCATCGTCGTTTCGTCAAAATAGGCTGATCCCTGAGTCGCTGCTAAAATACGTGAGCTGCAGATAGATTTAGCGCCCTTTACCCCTGATACAATTCATTGTCACGTTGGGTGCAGAAACTGTTATAAGGTTTCTTTAGAGGTGAAGCTCCTTAGGGTATGGGAAAGTCCCACGGCGGCATCCGTAGTAGCCACCCCTAAGTAGTAGGAGTGCTCACTAGATGGCGCTTGGATGGACGGATGGACACACAGATGATTTATGGTTTGCCGATAAAACGCTCCGAAGCTTCGCCCCACTTATCATCATTCACTTTGTAGATATGCTGTGAATTGTTTTTCTTGGGGGGGGTGGGGGGGGAGGGTGAGTTCATACAATCTACTGGGAAGAAAAGATTTCGTTTTTGAATGAAATCTTCGGCAAATGTTTATAAGGGACCTTCTGACTCTTTAGTCTCACAATGATTGACCAATTGCTCTTACAAACTTAAGGAAAGAGGGTGATTTGTTGATACGAGCTTAACAGAAAACTACAGACTATAAAGCCAAGTAAACTATAGGGCACGTTTACTGTATTCTTTTTTTAAACTGTGTTTAACCAAGTATGGCATAAATATGAAGAAAGCAGTGGACCGAACGACAACCTTCCACGGATAAAGGCTGCGGCTGCAGCCTTCGGATAACGCGTATTATACTCTACCATTTCGTATACGGCGGTGGTCGAATTGTCACCCACATATATATATGGAAATTTAGTAGTCATGACAATAAGTATGAAACGCCGCTCGTAGCCATGATAACAAGTATCAAACGCTTTTTTTCGCCACTCAGTGCCATGCACTATGTGATCGTATACGGTGCTGACAGCTGACTAATAGTCAGCTTGCCGGAGTGAGATCATCGCTATCAAATAAATAGGGAAATTTGAAGGGCTAGTTCCTTTTTTATACAACATAATGAAACCCGACACATAGTGAAACCAAGGAAATTAAAATTCCCCTGATTTGTGCTTTCATAGCGAGGTTCTCGCTCGAGCAAAAAGAGAGAACTCTTTATTGAAATGCAGAGAATTTAGCCGGCATGCGAAATTCGCTGACTTGCTGCTCTGCGCCGGGAAGGGGATTGAGGATTGAAAGTGCAAATAAGAAGAGAGAGAGAGAGAGAGAGAAAAGACAAATTGTAAATATAGATGTTAGATTAAATAGAAAAGAAAGGAAAAGGCCACCTCTTTGAACATTGAATGAGGACGTGCGTAAGAGTTTTCTCGTGGTGTCAAGCTACAGCTACAGCTTGTCCAGCTGACTGATGCTGTCCAAGTACGCAAACAAAAGTTCTGTAAAGTGTGGCAGGCTAAAGGTTCTAATACAACAAGTCAATACAATACAATAAGTCATTGCATATTACCTGAATGCGTCAAGTCTGCTCGCTCTGGCAGACTTGACGCATTCTGGTAATATGCAATGACTTATTGGTCAGTTGACCGCTTGTTAGAGCGGATAGCCGAGCATCGTTCCACTCTCTAGGAGAATAAGAGTGTTCCACACTTGCCATCTACGAGAAGCACTGGGTAACACTCCAAGGTTTGTACGAACATAAAATACCCGACATGATAAGACGACCGCCGCCGTATACCTCAGTTGATGGAACACTGAGGGCGCCATCTAATGTGTGCAGGTTTGGTCGCTGCCGAAGGCTAGTTGCCATTTCGGACGTTAACTTTTTTCAGATTTATGTCATAATTACTACAAAACAGCTGAGGCAGCACAATTTAATTCCTCTACGCATTCCCTGACTTCAGTATCTGTGCATGTTTCATAAGTTTCTGTAGTAGACCATGGTGATGGCTGTTCTGAACGCTGTAAGGTATCGAAAACAAAAACAAGAACTGACCGGTAGTCGAAGGCGATGCCCGCCTTGACCTTTTTGTATGTGCTGGCCTTCGCCTGGAACAACCTCCAGCTGTCTTGAACGAGCGAAGCCCGTATAGCGCCTCCCACTATGACGACGTCCGTGTAGTAGAGGTACTGGCACGGTCCTTCGGGCGGGTACATGCTGGAAGTCACGGCAGTATGGCCCACGGTGCACAGTATTTCCTTCACTGAAACGATGGAACTATCGTTATCTTCACCGCAAAGTGGAGTAAACGTCGCGCACGCAGATATGCAGACACACGCAACACGTATCTGCTGTGACAGTTTTTCGCGCTCGTATACTATTTTAGTCTATTCTGCTTGTGCGATCGTTGTGTTGAGCAGGAAGTTTCGAGCTACTTATACCGTACTTTGCGCGACATTTCACTTTGTTGCTAGCGCATTAATTACTCAGCTTTTGAGGCGAAAGCGATATAATAATAATAATAATAATAATAATAATAATAATAATAATAATAATAATAATAATAATAATAATAATAATAATAATAATAATAATAATAATAATAATAATAATAATAATAATAATAATAATAATAATAATAAATTCTCTTTTTCTTCCTTATTATTACGTATCACATACATCGACTCGCTCATTAGCCGCGTGACGCCATGGGTTGGTCGATTGAACCGTGGCATACACGTAGGTTGAGACAGTTGGCTTACATCTGCCTAATTTAGAAAAAAAAAATGCCGGAAGAAATGCGACAGATGAAGTAAACACTGATGTCGTTCGGACTGGCCAGCTGGGCTTTCGAAATGGCCGCCGCGTTGGTTTCGCCGTCAAGCCTGCTGAGGAGGTGGTTTCAGAGTCAATTTCCTACTACAGCATAGATTGTAACCGCAAGAAATCAGTGACTGATCTTTGTAATCAAGACATATCATCGTGATTTATCGAACAACCTAATCGGTAATATTATAACCAGCGTGCGACAGATTGAGCTTGACTGCAGTGTTTATTTATTGATGATGACTGATTTGTGGGGTTTAACGTCCCAAAACCACTAATTGATTATGAGAGACGCCGTAGTGGAGGGCTCCGGAAATTTCGACCACGTGGGGTTCTTTAACGTGCACCCAAATCTGAGTACATGGGCCTACAACATTTCCGCCTCCATCGGAAATGCAGCCGCCACAGCTGGGATTTGATCCCGCGACCTGCGGGTCAGCAGCCGAGTACCTTAGCCACTAGACCACCGTGGCGGGGCTTTTCATTTATTCATAATACCTCAAAGGTCCCATGTGGGACATTACAGTAGGAGTGGGCGAACAAAAAAAAAAAAAAAAAACTGGTCGTCCTTTGTAATATGTACGT